GGGGCCACCTACACCCGGATGGTGGGCCGGGTCTTTCAAGCCGTCCTAGGGCGCACCATGGAGGCCTATGTTGACGACATGATCGTCAAGAGCAAACAATCTTTCAGCCATGCTGACGACCTCTGGGAAATCTTCGCCATCATGCAAAAATTCAACCTTCGGCTAAACCCGAAGAAGTGCACCTTCGGCGTCCAAGGAGGCAAATTTTTGGGCTACATGGTGAGCCGAAGGGGTATTGAGGCCAATCCCGAGAAGATCCAGGCCATCATCGACATGGAACCCCCACGCAACGTAAAGGAAGTTCAACGGTTGACGGGCCGCCTGGCAGCCCTCAACCGCTTTCTATCTAAGTCAGCGGAGAAGTCTCTACCCTTCTTCCAGATCATGAGGAAGACGGCTGGCTTTCTATGGACTCCAGAATGCCAGGGGGCTTTCGACGAGCTCAAACGATATCTATCTTCACCCCGTGTGCTATCCAGACCAAAGGTAGGGGAAACCCTCTATCTCTACCTTGGGGTCAGCCCGGCGGCCATCAGCTCTGTGCTCATCCGGGAGGAAGACGACATCCAACATGCCATCTTCTACGTTAGCAAGACTCTAAGGGAGGCCGAACTCAGGTACTCTCCTGTGGAGAAAACGGTGTTGGCCATCGTTTAGACCGTCAAGAAGTTGGGCCACTACTTTCAGGCTCACCCGGTTCAGGTCCTCACTCATCAACCCCTCGGCGCCCTCATGAGGAGCCCCACCAGCTCCTCCCGCATGGTGAAATGGGCTATCTTCTTGAGCCATTACAACATTGACATCCGTCCAAGGCCTGTCATCAAGGGCCAAGCCCTGGCGGACTTTGTGACGGAGTGTACCGCAAGGGCAGCCACGGACGGGGAGCCCTCGGCTACCTCGGATGATTGGTGGACCCTCTACACTGACGGCTCCTCCGCGACCAAAGCATGCGGGGGAGGGGTAGTCCTCATTACTCCCGAGGGCTTCAGAGCCTACTATGCAATCCGCTTCTCCTTCAAAGTCTCCAATAACGAGGCCGAATATGAGGCCCTCCTATGTGGCCTTCGGCTGGCTGCCAACATGAGGGTTCGACAGATCCACATCAAATGCGACTCCAAGTTGGTCGTTGGCCAAATCTCCGAAGAATATGAGGCCAAGGAGGGAAGAATGAAACAGTACAAGGAAGCGGCCAAGGAGTTGCTTAAGGTATTTGAGGCACACTCTCTCACTCAAATACCGAGGGCTCAGAACTTCGAGGCCGACATATTATCTAAGCTCTCGGCCGACTCCCCCGAGCACATCTCCAAGATTGCCAAAATTGAGGAACTCAGCCTCTCAAGCATCCATGCAAGCCCCGTTATGAACATACAACAACGCCAAGAGGATTGGATCTCAGATATCACCACTTTCATCTCCACAGGACAGCTACCCGAGAATGAGGCCCGCGCTAAACTGGCAAAACTGAGGGCTCCTACCTACACCATCGAAGATGGAAGGCTCTACAAACGATATTACAATGGCACGCTACTTCGGTGCCTTCATCCAGATGAAGCCGAGGTCGCAATGGAGGAAGTGCACAGTGGCACTTGCTCAGCTCACCAGGGACCCTTCTCCATGTCCCGAAGGCTCATTCTCCAGGGCTACTTCTGGCCAACCATGGCCAGAGATTGTGCTGACCTTGCCCGGAGGTGCACCGCATGTCAACATTTCCAGAAAGCCCCCGGCAGGCCAGCGGTCAACTATGCCCCCATCAGCACATCTGTCCCCTTTTCTCGATGGGGGATAGACCTTGTGGGCCCTCTGCCGAGGGGTACCTCCAACAACAGGTACATCATTGTGGCCATCGACTACTTTACCAAGTGGGTGGAGGCTGAACCCCTCGCCAGCATCGCAGAGGCGAAGTGTCGTCACTTCGTCCTCAAGAACATCCTCACAAGGTTTGGCGTCCCCCAGCAGATCATCTCCGACAATGGGACACAATTTGAGGCAACCCCCTTCTGTGCCCTTCTGGAGGCATGGGGCATCAAACACACCTTCTCCTCCGTTGCCTACCCTCAAGGCAACGGGCAAGTAGAAAATGCCAACCGGACCTTGCTCGAGGGCCTCAAAAAGAAGCTGGAGGCCGAGGGCGGTGGCTGGGTAGAAGAACTCCACAACATCCTTTGGGCCTACCGCACCACCCCTCGGCGAGCAACAGGTGAAACACCCTTCTCCCTCTGCTACGGTTTTGAAGCCAAAGCTCCCACGGAAGTCACCCTTCCCACCCGGAGGGTGATCCAATATGACCCCAAGGCCAATGACAGCAACATGGCCCTCGACCTCCACCTCATTTCGGAACGCCGGGAGCAGGCCTTCATCCGGGCAGAAAATTACCGAAGGCAAGTCAAAAGCTACATCGACTCCAAAGTTCGCACCAGAGAATTCCAAGTGGGGGACTATGTCCTCCGGAGGAGGGAAGCCAGCCAACCAACCGAGGGAGGAAAAATGGCACCAAAATTCGAAGGCCCCTACATCATAGCAGCCATCATCAAACCTGGAACTTACAAGCTTAAACGCCCCAACGGGAAAGAGGTCCCTAGGCACTGGAATGTACACCACTTAGTTAAATTTTATCAATAATGTAAGAGTGGCCAAGCCCTCATAACTAGTGAATGTACTATCTTATGGCCCAAGGCCTCCAATTTCGAAGAATGAAGATACATTAAAGACACCAAGAACAAAACACTTATGAGCGGCCAAGCCCTCATACCAACTACAGGCCCCATGTGCTCTCAGTCAAGACCCCTCGGTACCAAGTACCGGGGGTACACATCTCCGCCCTCAACATCAAAGATAAGAACACCAAGTGTTCCTACAGAAGACCCTTCGGCACCCAGTGCCGAGGGGTACACATCTCCGCCCTTAACATCGAAGATAAGAACACCAAGTGTTCCTACAGAAGACCCCTCGGCACCCAGTGTCGGGGGTACGCATCTCCACCTTCAACATAAAAAAGGAAAAGATAAGAACACCAAGTGTTCAACATCGAAACTAACACCAAGTGTTGTTTCTAAAAGCCGTACCCCACGAGGACGCATATACCGAAGGCGCCACCATCGGTGCCGGCGGCACGTAGTGCCCCCGGCCATTTGCAACTAGTGTGCAAATGAAAACCCTTCCTTGAAACGCTTTCCGCGTCTCTACCCCCAGGGTATGACAGGCATGAGAAATGCCCAGGATTCAACTTTCAAAAACGGAACGCTATCCGCGTCATCACCCCAAGGGTATGACAGGCACGAGAAATGCCCAGGATTCGACTTCCAAACCGAAACGCTCCCCGCGCCACCACCCCAAGGGTGTGGCAGGCCACGGACTATGTCTGGCGCCGAGGGGACGACTTTCAAAAATGAGGCGCTTTCCGCGCCATCCCCCAAGGGGAGGCAGGTTACAGACCACCATATCTTGTGCCCAGGAAACGACCCTCGATCCCCTCGAAACTCGGAAGGTTAACCCGAGGGAGGAGAGCCATTGGTGTATTCTGATGGTCTCCTAATAGGCCCAGCCTTACCAAGAAACCAAGTTTCTTGATGCCTTCCCTTCACCACCAACCAAAAAAAAGGGGGGGTGAAGGGGAGTAGACTCAGCGAGAAATCAAAGAGTACACTCCAACAGATCACAACATGCCGAGGGCTCCCCACGGGAACACCTCCGGTAATTGAAGGCTCCTATTTCCCGAAGGATACTACTCAAACAAATATCATCAAGAAACGGCTAAGTCCACTGCCTGGTCACCTCCGGTCACACGAGCACCGAAGGCTTCAACAATACAAAGGGACTGGACTATCCAAGGTCCACTAAACGGTACTTCAAACGCCGAAGGCATCTGTCATGCACTGATACCGAGGGCCCCTACCCCATTACAAGGGACACAACTGGCTAAGTCAAACTCTACAACTTTTCAGAGTGTATGCCGAGGGCACACACTCATCATTGGCTTTCTTCACAACAACAGGATTCCACACTTTTCCTAAGTCCACACTTTTGGAAAATGACGGCAACCGGAGGCTAATATATCACCAGACAACCGAAGGCATATATTACAAATCATCAAAAGCCAACCGAGGGGGACTATTCCAAAATATTTGCCCCTCGGACAGACTCCTCACTGACCGAAGGTCCAACATCTACGACACACTGTGAAATTTTGCTAAGTTCCACATATTTGGCCCTCGATCAAATGCTCATACAACTCAAGGGGCCCACGATCACCCGAAGGGTCCTGTTCATATACCCGGAGGGCTCTACACCCGGAAGCTCGACATCACTTTACGTTTAAAAAATATTCTAAGTCCTAAAGGAGTAGCTCCCGGGCGTCTCGCAAAGTGATGTAGAGTCAGAGGGCACCTATCACCCGAAGGCGACACAAGGAAGCAGCACTTGGAGAAAATTCTAAGTCCTAAAGATTGGGCCCCCGGCCCAATCAATATTACAGCCAAGGGAATATGGTAGCCGAAGGCTACGCAATACAACAACACTTAAAAAATGTTCTAAGTCCTAAAGATGGGCCCCCGGCCCAATCAATATTACAGCTAAATGAATATGACAGTCGAAGGCTATGCATCAAGAAGGGATGCCATCTCCCGAAGGCTCCCGAGGGAAAATCCACGCTTAGAAAATTTTCTAAGTCCTACATATTTTCCCCCCGGTCAACTACTCATACATCATGAAGGGATGCCATCTCCCGAAGGCTCCCAAGGGAAAATCTACACTTAGAAATTTTCTAAGTCCTACATATTTCACCCTCATCTCAAGGGACCTAATAGCCGAAGGCTACCTATCAATCAAAGGCTACAGTACACAAGGAATCAACACTTAGAAAAAATTTCTAAAGTTCTAACTGTTGCTGAGCCCTCGGCTGTATATCCAGCGTAGGGTGCGCAACTACCGAAGGCTACAACCATATTCAAACACTTAGAAAATATTCTAAGTCCTAGGCATACATTCAAAAAGGAGAAGACATACACTCAAAAAGGAGAAGGCATACATTCAAAACATAGGGCGCATTCAAATGCGAAGAGCCCGGAGGCAGCATGCATTCATCAAAAACAAAAGTGAGTGTAAAATTACAAACAGGCCGAAGCCGAAGGATCAATGTTGTTCATTACAAAATATGTTCAGAAATTCCTAAGTATAAAATCACTCAACAACTTCGACAGCATCATTCCCCGGGGCGTCCTCTGCAGCCAGCCTCGACGAAACCTCCGCTCCGGCCTCGACAGCGTCATCCTCGGCCTCTTTCTTCAGCTCGGTGTCCTCAAGGTCGGGTCGTTGTACACCTTCGGGAAGGGATTCACGGACATCAGGCTGCAGGGGAGGGAGGCCATATGCCGAGGGGGTGAAATCCTTTGGCTCAATACCCAAGTGTCGGGCCATCCTCCGATAGATGAGGGCCTGGGTGAAGAATTCGCCGACCTCATAATATTCTCTGCCCTTCCGGGCCATCCATTCCCACCCAGGGCCCTCGGCCCATTCATCAACGCATGCCTCCACGACCGAGGACACCCACATCTTGCGCCCCTCGGCTCTCCAACCCTCGGCGACGAAGGCGTCAACGGCCTCCTCCTGAGCCTTGGCGATGGCTAACGCCTTGGAATCCTCGGCCTCTTTGACAGCTCTCCTGGCCTCCTCAGCAGCGGCCTCAGCATCAGCCTTGCCCTTTTCTGCAGCCTCCAATTTGAGGTTCATCTGCCGAAGCTCCTCTTCTAGCCTGGCCCCCAGCTTCACCGCCTCTTTGTTCTTGAGGATACACTCCCTCATTTTGACGTCCTGCTCCGCTTTGTGAAGGCGCCATTCTTGAAGCCTCCGGGCCTGTTCGCCGAGGGCTAGACAAGCCTGCAAATCAACAACAAAAACGGTTAAAGGCAATCACACAAAATGATCAAAGGAGAAGATGGAGAAAGCCAAGTGAACACTTACAGAGAGGGAGGAGCGAAGAATGTGGTCCTCGAGGGCCGCATCATTATAAGCCCCGAGGGCAGCCCTATCCGTCTCAGGGGTTATGCCCCTCAAGATGGCCCCCGGGTCGACAGCGCCGCTGGCCAGAGATGTACCCCTCGGAAACGAAACTTGGAGGACCTCAGGCAGCAACTCCTCTGCCCCCGCCGGCGTTCCACCCGACGGCTTCTCCACCTGCACCCCGGAGGCGGGGTGCTCATCAACAATCATGACCAGGGGCTCCTTATCGGTGATATCCCCCTTCTTCGGCTTTTTGGTAGCCGGGGGGGACCCCTTGGTCGCCGCCTTCCTCTTGCCGGCAGCGGCATCGCCCTCGGCTTTCTTGAAGAGGGCAGTGGCGGGCTTCTGGTTGCCCTGTCCCGACCCCTTCGGGTCCTGTTTCTTCAGGCGAGCGAGGCCCTTCACATTCACCATGGACACGGGGATACCTGCAAAAATACGACAAAGGATTAGGCCGACGGGTCTAAGCGAAGGGACAATGGCATCCAAGCAAAAAAAAAACTAAGTACAAAAATCTAAAGCCCTCGGCTCCTACCTCCGGCTCCTCCGAAGGCCTTGTTGAAGGGAGGATACTTCTCATCGGTCTCCCCTATGAAACGGTACCTCCGAAACCCGAGGGTGTATAAATCCTCCTCGAGGGTGCAATCTTTGATCGCCACGTTCTTATTTTTCCCCTCCAGGAACTTGGCCAGCTTTAGGCCGTCTTTCTCGAGGGCAACACTCCTGATCTTTTCGTGCCTTCGGAATCGATCGCGCAGCTCCCTCGGGAATGGGTTCTCGCCCAATTTTACATAGCACCAACGTTCCCTCCATCCTTTGTTGGAAGAAGGAGCATCGGAGAATAGTTTGAAGCGGGCAATCTGCTGCAGGTTCGTGTATCCCTCGCCGTTTTCGTGCCCCCCCCCCCCCCCGCACAAATTAAAGCTCTGGAAGAATAGATCCAGGTTGGGCTTCACCCCTCGGGACTTGCAGAGCTGGAGGAACCCCGCAATGTAGGAATGGCTGTTGGGCGTGAGTTGGCAGGGGACCAAACCAACAAACCTCAAGTACTCCCGGAGGAACGGGTGCAGAGGGAACCTAAGTCCCATAGAAACCGAGAGGACGTGAATGGCGATACACCCCTCAGGCGCCCTGGACAGCACGTCGTCAGGACCTGGCTCCACCACTTCGGCCGAGGGCCCCACGTGCAGCTGAGTCACGTACAGATCTGCCCTATCGGCTTTCGACCTAATCTCGAGGGCCTCAGTGTTCAACAAACTGTACCCCTCGGGCATGTCCACTGGCTTTCCTTGATCGACAGCCCTCTCCTTCTTCTTGGTAGCGGCCTTCGCTTTCTTCTTCTTCAACCCGGAGACCGCCCTCAGAGGTATCGGATCTAGCGGCCTCGAGCTACTTGCTTCCCCAGAACCCCGGGGCGGGAGAACAACAATTGTAACCTTCGTGCTCTCATTCTGCGCCTCATCCTCCGCTACTTGCCATACGAGGGCTAGGTCTTCATCCTCGCACTCTTGCTCGAAGCCCTCGGCTTCGACCTCAGCAATGAGTTCCTTCTGGACCTCCCGGGCCAGGGCGGCATCAGCACCGACCGAGGGCTCGCTCACGGACTCCGCATCAGAAACGTGCTCCTCATCAACCGAAGGGTCCCCCGATATGTTTTGGGAATCGCTCTCGGACGACATTCTTTGCCACGAAATGTGCCTAAGGTTTCGAAGGATTTCTACAGGACCCTAACCCTAATCTAAGGCCAGAGGGCGGAACTTACAAAAAGTGTTGAGGGGAAAGCGGGACACTGACCTTGAAAGCTGAGTTTGACCGAAGGCTTGAGTTTCTCTCTCTAGAATTTTTGGCAGAGCTTCGCTAGGGATGTTGGATGCGTAAAGGAGGAATGGCCTTGGCTTGGGGTATTTATAGGCTCCCAGATCCGGGCTTGGGCCGAGATCCGGGCTCCCAGCAGCCAAAGCCATCATTACGCATCGTCGTTTCACCCAACCGGTGACGCCCGCCCACGAGCAGCCAACGGCTACACTCCACGTGTACCCCCCCCCCCCCAACGACTATAAATCTGACGCTACATATTCCAAACGGCTATATTTCCAACGGCTATATTCTGGAAGCCCCCGGGTTTTCTGCTTCACTCCACTTCATCAAGGAGAGCCTCCGGGTACACTTACCCAGAGACGCCTTCGGGATCACTCCTTCAGAAACCCAAGGCTTCATATCAGGGCACCCCTCGGGGATTCCCCCTCAGCACTGTAAGAACCGAGTAGCCCCCGGGGAGTTGCCTCATTGACGGATAACCCATGGCACACAGGTAACGGTAGCCCTCGGGTATCTTCATCACCAACTAATCAACAAACAGTGGACCCCCGGTAACAACTCCACTGCTGCCCTCATCCATCAGGCCCTCGTTCCCCAGGACATCAACAGCAAGCCTTCGGCTAATCAATACATGAGCCCTCACAAAAAGGAGAGCCTTCGGCATTGCCGTTATTCTCCATTTTTGACCAAGGTTTGACATTTTCGATTCATCATTGGGGGGATTCGGTGCACTCTTTTTCCCTCATTAGGATTTTTTCCCACGGGGTTTTTTCTAATGAGGTTTTTAACGAGGCATCCCCCCAAAATAAAACGAAAAGCGTCAGCCTTCGGACCACAACAGCAACGCAACTACTCTACTCCTTTTTACCACTTTACAAGTGCCTCAAGGAGTGGGGGACTCGAGGACCCCCTCGGGAAAATCATTAAATTACAAAGTTAGTGAAATTCCAACAAACGACAAAGCAAGCCCTCAAGTCCCGACATGTGGGTAACTGAGGGACTGCCTTCAGCAGGGACATAAAAGCAACAACTCCTCACCAACTTCAGAAATCACGGCAGGACAACATCAAAGGGCAAGCACAAAGTACTCTTTTTCCCTCAAATACCTTTCGGCAAAAGGAGTGAGGGACTCCTGATGGAGTATACGGCCCGGGAACACCCGGCCCACAGACTCCTACTACTCCTCTAGTTCCTAACAAGGTTTTATCATCACAAAACCCATATCAACACAAATAACCTATAAAAGGTTATTTTCCGGCAACCCGGTCGATTTGGCTTCTAAGTCCGTTTTTGGACTTAGAATCACTTTCCAACCCATTATTCCACACTTAAATCATGTAGAACAATACTAAAGGTCTTTCATATGATATATATCTTATATGCTAGAAGAAAAACAAAGGAAAAGTTATGATAAGGTCATTACCTTAATTTTCACACTTTTTCCTAGCTTTTTCCTTCTTAAACTTTCTTCTTGGACTCCCTTGAGCTTGAGTTCGGATTTGGGGCTATGGAGATGAAGTTGTAGAGGTTCTTTCCTCCTTTCCCTTTCTGCTGGCCGAACTAGTGAGGAGGGGGATGGGTAGGAATGCCTCTTTGTCTCCTTTTGGGCAATGAGTGAAAGGGAGGAGGGCCACCATGATTTGTTTTGATGCCAAACATCTCAAATCAGTCCTCTCCCACCTCAACTCTCCTACCAGCCTGCTAAGGCCCTGAATAATGAGGCTAAAATCGTGGGTTGGCCCCCACCCATGTGGGAGGTCAACCCTTTTTGTCCAGAAGTGTACAATCGGTCCCGAAAGTTGTATTTTTCCGGACTGTTTTAAGTATATTTTATTTTATCGGGTCCAATTAAAATATAACACTTGTTCCCAATTCTTAATGGACCTTAGAATCAATATGCATCCCTCAACTTTAATTTAGAAGTCTCCGAAATCCCTTTTTGGGCTGTTATCTGATAGATTGCCGATACTGATAATTTGGCCCCGTTTGACCAACCGGTCAACCCTATGCCATTATCATGGCTCAACTAGGATATCCACCACCATATACATATTATCTAGTCCAAGATCAATATAATATGTGGCCCCGATAATATCGGGCGGTCCCCACTCCCGATGTGGGCCCCACGTGCATTTTACTATTCACGCGAAAAAATTAATACAAATTCACAACTTCGTAAATTCACTAAAAATTTCATAGGGTTCAATAAATTATTAGCTTAAAGATAAATACATTTGGGGACGGTGTTACAAGTTCACCCCCCCTTATTTGGGATTCCGTCCCCGAAATCCACGTGTCTAATCGAAAAGGAAAGGGTACTGCTCCCTCATTGAGACCTCAGTCTCCCAGGTTTCTTCTTCGACTCGATCACTCCTCCAAAGGACCTTTACCATAGGAATCTCCTTGTTCCTCATTTTCTATACCTGTTGACCCACAATCTTCACCGGTTCCACCGCATATTGTAGGTCTTCACGTATCTCTACCGGTGGTTTCTCAAGGATATGAGACGGATCTCGCACGTATTTCTTGAGCATCGATACATGGAACACGTCATGTATCTTCTCAAGTTCTGGCGTCAATTTGATACGGTAAGCCACGGCCCCTATCCTTTCAAGGATTTCAAATGGGCCAATGTATCGGGGGTTAAGTTTTCCCCTCGATATAAATCTGATGATACCTTTCCAAGGAGAAATCCTTAGAAAGACCTTATCACCGACCTCAAACTCCAATGGCCTGCGTCGTTTGTCAGCATAACTCTTTTGCCGATCTTGGGCAGCCTTGAGTCTCTCCTGATGACCTTCACCTTAGCCTTGGTGATTTCGACAAGTTCGATTCCCTCGAGCTTGGCTTCGCCAACCTCGTCCCAACACAATGGGGTTCTACATTTCCTCCCATACAATGCCTCATATGGGGGCATGCCAATACTCGCCTGATAACTGTTGTTATAGGCGAACTCGACCAGAGCCAAATGCTTGTCCCAACTCCCTTGGAACTCCAGAGCACATGCCCTAAGCATATCTTCCAGAATCTGTATCACCCTCTCGGATTGCCCATCCGTCTGTGGGTGAAAGGTTGTGCTAAACTTTAGCTTCGTACCCAAGGATGCTTGAAATTTTGGCCAAAATCGGGATGTGAAATGTGGGTCCCTATCCGAGACAATGGATATCGGAACTCCATGCAGTCTCACAATCTCCTTCGTGTATAGCTTTGCCAATCTTTCAAGAGGATAAGTAACGTTGATAGGCAAAAAGTGTGCACTCTTGGTGAGCCTATCAACCACTACCCATACTGCATCATAGTTGTTCACTGTTCGTGGCAGCCCCACCACGAAGTCCATGGTCACGTGCTCCCACTTCCATTCTGGAATGGTAAGTGGTTGCAAAAGTCCCGCCGGGTGTTGATGCTCCGCCTTGACTTGTTGGCAAGTAAGGCACCGACTCACGTACTCTGCGATGTCCCTCTTCATACCCGACCACCAGTAACTTTCCTTCAAGTCTCGGTACATTTTAGTACCTCCTGGATGCATGGCATACGCCGAAGAATGAGCCTCCTCCAGTATAGACTTTTGGAGCTCCTCGTTCCTTGGTATGCATACACGGCCTTTAAACAATAAAAGACCGTCATCACGTACCCGAAAGTTCTCAACAGGTCCCTCAAGGATCTGTTCACGGATCTTCTGACATTCTTCATCAATGGCCTGACATCTACTGATCTCACTCAGCAATGTAGGCCTAACCTCGAATCTAGCAATGAGGACCCCACTCATGGACACCTCCACTTGTGCCCTTAGTGAGCGTAGACACGTGAGTAACGTCCCCGATGTACTCTTTCTGCTCAGTGCATCGGCTACTACATTGGCCTTCCCGGGATGATAGTCGATGATCAAGTCGTAGTCCTTGATCAACTCCATCCATCTCCTATGTCTCATATTCAACTCTTTTTGAGTGAATACATACTTCAAGCTTTTATGATCGGTGAAAATGTGACACGTCTCCCCATAGAGATAATGCCGCCAAATTTTCAGTGCAAACACTACCGCTCCCAACTCTAGATCATGGGTAGGGTAGTTTGTCTCGTGTTTCTTCAATTGCCTTGAAGCGTAGGCAATCACCTGACCGTTTTGCATTAGAACACATCCAAGCCCTTGGATGCTAGCGTCACTGTATATGTCGTACCCTATCCCTTGTGTGGGTAGAGTGAGGACTGGTGCTTCTGTAAGCCGTTTCTTTAGTTCGAGAAAACCTTTCTCACAATTGTCGTCCCATATGAACTTGGCCCCTTTCTTTGTGAGTTTTGTCAATGGAGACGCCAATACAGAAAACTTTTCAACAAACTTACGATAATATCCTGCCAAACCGAGGAAACTACGTATTTCTTTCACGTTCTTGGGTCTCTCCCAATTCATAATGGCTTCTATCTTGGCTTTATCCACCGCAATGCCCGAACCTGACACGACATGCCCGAGGAACCCGATCTCTTTGAGCCAAAACTCGCATTTAGAGAATTTGGCAAAGAGTTGTTTTTCCCTTAGCCGTTCAAGTACAAGTCTTAAATGATCTTCATGCTCCCCCTCACTCTTGGAGTATATCAAAATATCGTCAATGAATACTATCACGAATTGATCTAAGTATTCACTGAACACACGGTTCATCATGTCCATGAATGCCGCCGGGGTGTTGGTTAGCCCGAACGACATGACTAGGAACTCGAAATGACCATACCTTGTGCGGAATGCACTCTTCGGTATGTCATCTTCCTTTATTTTCAGTTGGTGGTACCCCGACCTCAAGTCAATCTTCGAAAACATCGTCGCCCCTCGGAGCTGATCAAACAAGTCATCAATTCTAGGCAAGGGATACCTATTTTTGATTGTGACCTTGTTCAGTTGACGATAGTCAATGCACATACGAAGTGTTCCATCCTTCTTTTTCACGAAAAGGACCGGTGCTCCCCACGGAGAGTGACTCGGCCTTATGAAACAGTTATCCAATAGCTCTTGCAATTGGGTTTTCAACTCGTTAAGTTCAGCGGGTGCCATTCTGTATGGCGGTATAGAGATTGGTTTGGTGCCGGGTTCGACCTCGATCACGAACTCAATCTCCCTATCGGGTGGAAGTCCCGGCAAGTCTTTTGGGAAGACATCCGGATACTTGCACACAACTCTCACATCATTGATGTCTATCTCTTCTTTGGTTTTGTCCACCACATACGCTAGGTATGCGTGACACCCCTTTCTCATCATATTCCTTGCTCTCACGGCGGATATGATACAACAGTTTGATTTGCCTCTATCTCCCTCGAAGCGTAAGGTCAACCCTTCGCCGCCTTCGAGTTCAAGAACCTTCGTGTAGCAATCGACCCTAGCATGATGTTTCTCAAGCCAATCCATCCCGAGGATTGCATCAAACTCGATCATACTCAGCGGTACGAAATCACACGTCAAGTTATGTCCCTCCACCTCCACCTCACACGATGGATAGTGGCTTTCTTTCTCGATATCATCCCCTAGAGGCGTGGACACCAATAGGGTTTGAGTCATCGGTACAAGTGGTCCGTTGAATCCGCTGGCGAACGCCTCACTCACAAATGATCGTTGCGCCCCGGTATCAATAAGGATCCTTGCTTCTCTCTCGTTTATCTTTAGTGTTCCTACATTCATAAGTAATGTAAGACACACCATCTAATAAATAGGTTCGTTTCTTAAGTCGTAGAGTATGTTGGTTGTGTTTCGGGTGGGGTTCGTTCGATACCCTCCCGCAATTTCCCGGTTTCTAACCTTTAGGACCGTTTTAGGATCAATCCGGGTGAAAGCCGGCCGCTTTTCACGAAAGCCGGCCGGTTTTCGACTGCGAGAAAAAATTCTAAGTTTTTAATCACGAAAGCCGGGCGGCTTTTACGAAAGCCGGGCGGCTTTCGTCGCCGTAGTTTTTATTCGGGGAATGGTTTCGAAGCTGGCCGGTTTCTATGAAACCCGGCCGGGTTTCGGCAGCGCAGGAATCCCAGGCTTAACGAAATCCGGGCGGCTTCCATGAAAGCCGGACAGCTTTCAGCTGCGAGAAATTTTCCAGGTGAGGTGTTTACGAAAGCCGGCCGGTTTTCACCAAAAGCCGGCCAGTTTTTGGTTGCGAGAATTTTCTTTGATTTAATCTGGACGAAAGCTGGGCGGTTCTCAGTGGAAGCCGGCCGGAATTCGTTGCCGTAGTATTATCCCAATTAAATCAAGATGAAAGCCGGGCGGCTTTCGTCAAAGCCGGGCGGTTTTCACCCAGGGCGAGGATTCTCCTCCCTTTTTCCCTTCAAACCCGACTAAACTCGTCGGGGTTATAATATTACAAGTTCCACCCTCCTATTGTTTACGAAAATTAATACGTGAGTTTAAGGAATTACCCGCAACGGAGTTCGGGTTGGCACGTGCATCCGCCTCCGTCATAGCATAAACTCTAGCTTGAGTTCTTCCTTGATTCACGGACGGCGCATTGCTCGTGCTCGCTCCCCTGGCCCACGCTAGCATGAGGTGCTCCGACCCGGTTCCTACTTGCCGTGGTAGCGCCGCTTGGTCCTGACCCCCGGTTCCCACCAAGTTGAGGGCAGTTTGGCTTAATATGCCCTGTACTCCCGCATTGGTAGCACCGTGGTGGATCACGACACTTACCGGTGTGGTTCCTGTTGCAATTCCTGCACCTGGGCGTCATTGGGGCTTGTGAGCTCGAGTAGTGCCCGCTCGTGGCCGGGTTTTCCTTGGATGGTGCTGCCGGTGCCCTGAACGATCCACCTCCCCCGTGGTTCCCCTTCTTATTTGGACCTTGGGGGCCATGGCTTTCCCACTTCCTTTTCTTGGCCTCTTCGGCATCTCTCTTCTTCCTCTCCTCCCATTGCTTTTCTCCCTTCAACCCTTGGGCAACCACTTGGCTGAAAGTCATATTGGGCAATTGAGTTGCCCTGTCACGTATCTCCAAGTCCAAGGCCTCCCAAAAATGATTCACCATTCAGTTTTCATCACAAGCATACTCCGGTATGTGATCAGCAAGGTCTCTGAACTTGTTCTCAAGTTCTTTCACCGTCATGTTACCGCCTTGGGTTAGGAGAGTGTATTCCCTCACCTTGGCGTTTACTTCGAAGTCAGAGTAGTACTGGGCAAAGAATTCTTGTCGAAAATCCTCCCATGTAACAGTTCCGCCATACTTACCCTTGGTTCCATCCCACCATTTGGATGCCAACCCTTCGAGTAACCTTACCGCGATTCTCAGTTTAAAATCGGGGGTGAGCTGCATGTCAAGGGCTGCCTCGTTCAGCCTCTTGATCCACTGGGCGGCAACCGAGATGTCTCCCGTCCCGTCGAACGGTTTGCACCCTAAGTCCCTCGCCTCCTTGATGTATTTGGAGATCCTTATGACTGGACCTCCATCGCCCCGACTCCCATGCGCTTCCACATGGGTTCTCGAATCACAAAAGCTCCTCCCTCTTGGAGCCCCGCTCGAAGGTTGCCCTGCACGGTGCCTTCGGCGTGCCCTCCTTTCTTCGCGCTCCCGATGATACTGTTGGAGCAGCGCTTCGATTCTGGCCAAGGAGCCACTTTCCTCCTCATCACTCACATCGTCATCATTCTCTTCGTAAGGGGTCTCAACTGGCTCAGTCCCCGGCTGGTAAGTTGAGTCCTCATAGCACCAATAGGTCTCACTTTCGGTATCGACGTGGCCATCGCTCACGGTTTGACGTTGGCCTCCACGGCCCCTTCCTCTTGATCCCCTAGAGGACCCCCGGCTACCGCGCTCGGACCCACCCGGTGCACGGCCCAACGGGTTCCTCCTAGTGATCCTTCCAATTGGTTCCATTTCTGAAAGAAATTAGAATGAGTCGTTAGACTCGTATCGAGTGTCAAATGACGGACGGTTACTTAAAGACATCCTTCGGCTCAAATCACCGCCATACCAATTGTTAAGGGTACCATCTTAACAATTAGAGGCATTGCAACTCAAGTACCAAAAGTTCTATAAGTACAAAACTTATGCTCATGGTTTTTCAAATTCATTTTCAAAAAGAAATTTTGAAGCTTCATTATGATGTTTACGGACTAAGGCTCCGATACCATTTAAATTGTCACGCCCCGGACACGTCAACAACCCGTCGTACAGTACGAATAGTCAACCGCAGTCCGACTCATCCATACTATACAAGGCGTCTTGAATACCATTCACACATAGTACATCCATAAACAAACATAATGTAAAACATTTATTAAAACAATTGGCATAATTAGGCATGCAAGCCCCCAAAATAATTATTCAGAAAATATTATCCATGAGCATTATTCATATTGTTTTTCAAAACAAGAACGGGAGAAGCACGAACCAAGTCTTCTCCTCAGAAACTTCCCGAAGCAGCGACTGGTGGTAGCAACCTTCAAGTTCTACCTGAAACTGTGAGGTGGCCTCCCCCATGAAGGGGAGGTCAGTACTTGGAAGCATTTGACAAGTACAATGACAACTATACTAAGTATAATCAAAGTTTAAATCTCTGAGGCCCTCAAACTAGAGCATTATTACATTATAGTTAATCCGTTCATTTAATATCAATTCATCATTATTTACCACGGTCTAGAGCCCAGCTCATAATCACCGTTATCTACTACGGTCTAGAGCCCAGCTCATAATCACCGTCACCTACTACGGTCTAGAGTTCAGCTCATAATCACCGTCATCTACTACGGTCTAGAGCCCAGCTCATAATCACCGTCATCTACTACGGTCTAGAGCCCAGCTCATAATCACCGTCTTCTACATCGGTCTTGAGCCCGGCTCATAATCACCGATTCCTTATAATTCAAATTCTTAGGATCTAATTCATCCATTTCTCAACTAACATTTCCAACTAATATTTCAATGCTAGTTATTTATTTATTTCAATATAATTCCTTCTTCTTGCATAATTGACCTTAATATCAAGTATCACTTTCATACCTTCATGGCTTCTCCTCATGGCATCAAAGTATACTATCCCAAATGATATTCATGGTTAGTACAACCATCATACACACATATTCATAACATCCAAACATACACAATTTATTCATAAATTTGTGTATCATGCATACTATACTTTTAATCAATAGTAGTTCTATTTAGGCATTATTAACCATCAACAATTCATGCACATCACATTTATATTCACTTAAGAAATCCCATGAAATTAACCCAAAGATTATAAGTAACATAGTCGGTCATCCTCACCTTAATTAAGCTTAAGCGCGTTCTACGTTTCTCGATTGGACTTTGACCAACTCCGGCGAACTTTGACCAACTCCGGCGAACTTTGACCAACTCCGACGAAACTCCGGCGAAGCTCAAAAATACTTTAAATCAAGTTCCTAACAAGGTTTTATCATCACAAAACCCATATCAACACAAATAACCTATAAAAGGTTATTTTCCGGCAACCCGGTCGATTTGGCTTCTAAGTCCGTTTTTGGACTTAGAATCACTTTCCAACCCATTATTCCACACTTAAATCATGTAGAACAATACTAAAGGTCTTTCATATGATATATATCTTATATGCTAGAAGAAAAACAAAGGAAAAGTTATGATAAGGTCATTACCTTAATTTTCACACTTTTTCCTAGCTTTTTCCTTCTTAAACTTTCTTCTTGGACTCCCTTGAGCTTGAGTTCGGATTTGGGGCTATGGAGATGAAGTTGTAGAGGTTCTTTCCTCCTTTCCCTTGCTGCTGGCCGAACTAGTGAGGAGGGGGATGGGTAGGAATGCCTCTTTGTCTCCTTTTGGGCAATGAGTGAAAGGGAGGAGGGCCACCATGATTTGTTTTGATGCCAAACATCTCAAATCAGTCCTCTCCCACCTCAACTCTCCTACCAGCCTTCTAAGGCCCTGAATAATGAGGCTAAAATCGTGGGTTGCCCCCCACCCATGTGGGAGGTCAACCCTTTTTGTCCAGAAGTGTACAATCGGTCCCGAAAGTTAAATTTTTTCGGACTGTTTTAAGTATATTTTATTTTATCGGGTCCAATTAAAATATAACACTTGTTCCCAATTCTTAATGGACCTTAGAATCAATATGCATCCCTCAACTTTAATTTAGAAGTCTCCGAAATCCCTTTTTGGGCTGTTATCTGATAGATTGCCGATACTGATAATTTGGCCCCGTTTGACCAACCGGTCAACCCTATGCCATTATCATGGCTCAACTAGGATATCCACCACCATATACATATTATCTAGTCCAAGATCAATATAATATGTGGCCCCGATAATATCGGGCAGTCCCCACTCCCGATGTGGGCCCCACGTGCATTTTACTATTCACGCGAAAAAATTAATACAAATTCACAACTTCGTAAATTCACTAAAAATTTCATAGGGTTCAATAAATTATTAGCTTAAAGATAAATACATTTGGGGACGGTGTTACAACATGCGGTTGCCAGCGCCAACCAGTTGAGGTGACCCCTCGGCCAATAGGCGCTTGACACGTGTCCCTGTCCGACATTTATTGCTACTATAAATAGCACCCCATTTCCCCATTTGTAAGAACGAGATTCATACTGAATACACTCTCTCTCTTGTTTACTTGTGCTCTGACTTCTCTCTAAGTTATTCTCAGCAATAACCCTTCGGATATATACCCCCGGGTAGACTTTCCATCAAGTTACAAGAGCCATAATATATCAAATCGAAGATATTTCAAAACTCTATACTCTTGAACTTTTAGCGGGGTCGGCTGACCGAGTCCCTGACCCCCTTGGTTCCGCCCCTGATCACAAACCGCCACGGACTATGTCCACTTCTAATTTCTAAACCAAACAGAAAAGGATCAACGCACAATTTTTTGAGCTAAGTAATATTCCCACCGGGGGTAAAAAGATTAACAGAGATATTTTTATTTCACGATCTGTATATGGATTAGTTTAGTGGGTATGAGTTATATTTTACGAAAGGGAAATATTTTCATTAATAGTGACCAATAAATAATTAAATTAGGTATGGTAGATAAACATATGATCTCTATATGGATAAATTGAGTACTCTTCCGTCTCAAATTGATAACCCCACTACATAAGTATAGGTTTAAATAAGACTAGACTTAAATAATACTCCGTTTGCCTTTTAAAGAATTTCTTTATTTGAATAGACACATTTTAAGGAGATGATTATTTTGTGACTTTCTCTTTATATTGAGGATTTTTATTCAGAGAACTATTTCGGCACTTTTGGTAATGTACATCTATTATTACTTGAGGTCAGTTGAGTAATTCGATATATTTGTAATATTTTTACCAAATAAAGAAAGAAAACTCTATTTAGAGACGTTAAAAAATGAAAGCATTCAACTTCAATAAAAGAAGAGAGTATTAAAATATAATACGTAGTATGTACATCATATCAAAGATTTCACCACAAGCGAACGGATCAGGAGCCTCTGCCTTGCTTTAGCGCAAGGTAGAGTGCCTTACTTCAGGACAACCGTCTGATCGACAATTCAATGGCCGTAGATCTTGGGGTCCACCCTTTCTTTTATCTCGAGGTCGTCCTCGCCGCTGCTCGACCGTCGGATGCGCAAGGACCCTCCTAGTCGGGTAGAGGATCGCAATCCCATGCGAACATATTCTTAAAACATAGGTACTTCTTCTAGGAAACACAAAAAGGAATACAGTCGTTGAATAGCAACTTCCCCAAGAACTAAATTTGGACAACTAAGAGTTGATTGAGATCATGTTAGGTCATTTGTGTTATTGTGTAGCGGAGGGGTTTTAGAAGTCCAAAAAGTTGGGAAATGAAACTTTTGGACTCCTAAACGCGTGTAGTGGAGGATTAAGAGGGTATTAAAAATGGGTAAGAGGGTTGATGATGTTATTATTAGATGGTAGATTGACTCCTAAATGATAACGCCATCCATGTGTCATTAAACCTGAGAATTTTCAAAACACTTTTATAGCTTTTTTATTTGTATTTCAAATTTTTCAAAAAATATATCAAAATTCATGAATTTTCATGATCTTTCATATGACATCAATATGTAATATGGAGTATATAAAATGAAAAAAAAATGAAGTTTTAACAATTGAAGTTTTCTTGAGCCCAAGAAAACACAAAACACAAATTTTTAATTCATGGAGCCTTCACATATAAATGAACGAACTTTCACTTGAACTAAGCTCATTTTTTGTTCACCAAAACACGTTACAAAAATCAATGAAATTTATTTATTTTTATCTCGAAATTTGTATTTTTTTAATTCATAATTATCTAGGGAAATATTAAAAGGAAAGTATTTTGTTGAGTATATTTTATCTGACGGTACCGGAATGAATGAAGAGAAATATGAATCTCATTTTAACAATTTGACCTTTTCACCCCTACAAAGTGAACTTTTCTCGTCACAAATGCAATTCCAAACAGAACATTGGTATTTGGTTTATTGGTACCATCTGCGAAAGAAAACAATACTACTAATCACTAAATGTCAACCCCTAATCAAACTTGCAGTTGCAATTTGTGAAGTTTTTTTTATATAAATGTACATATTCCTGAATTATGGATATATATGAACACCCATCTACAAATAGCATTTCTAACCGACATCAGGTTCATTTTTGCAATTTTTGGTCTATGGAGCCGAGAATGAATACGACGGGAATATATGCTATTTGAACAAAAATGCAGAAGTCGTTTGAAAGGAATTATTGTCCATTTCTTATTTGCGTATATATACCTTTCAACTTTACAGCAAAACTGTTATATGTGCTCTCTTATACTCAGTATATATGGCCATATGTAGGGTTTGTAATTGATTCTGTCTTTGCTTCTTTTTTATAAGCAAAAGCAGAATCAAAATTAGTTTTCTAGAGGTTGGTCTCTTTCAGTTTCTAAAAAATTGTTTCTAAGAATAATTTGAAGTCTCTAGAAGTACTTCTGCACTTTCACTTAAACATTTCAATATCTGTTTCTGCTCTTTGAAGGAGCAAAAGGAAGTAGATCCAAACATCCCTATATTTCAAAGACAGTAAAGTTGAGTAATAGAGTAGTGATGTGTCACTCTCTTATTGGTTAACATAAATAACTATTATTATTCAGTGTTTATACCGTGGAATCGGTGCATGGTAATATTGTTATTTTTTATTTCTTTTTTTCTTAAAATTATTAATAATTTTTTTATTTTTGATCCGATTTTTATAAAATTTATATAAATTTTTTTTATTTTTCATGATCTTTCAAATGAGACCGATATTGCCTATGTAATTTTAATTTTTTACATTCATACATTTTTTGTAATATATTTTTATATGCATACACTTTTTCTATAATTTTTTTTTTATCACTTTTATATGTTTTTAGAGGTTTTTAAGATATTGAGTTTGTTTATTTTGCTTCTAGCTTGGAGTTACATTTGATAATATACGAAGTTACATTTTTACTCTAATTTTACACTTTGTGGTTTTAATTGTACCAAAAGAAAGTAGAAGAATATATTCATTTTCGTGGAGTTCAACAAGGACATATGTTCAATCTCCCTGCTTTAGAACAAGAATGTTAGTTGGGACTTGGGAATGACCCAAATCACCCGAGAATGAAAGATGGGGATAATAAGAAAGTGATAGAAAGTTTTGTTGTTTTTGCACAAAATACACACTACGTAACCTATTGAGAACATTTTTGAAAAAACCCGCAAAATATACATGTAAGATTAATACAGTAAGGGAGAATTTCCCAAATAGAACTAAATGAAACTTTAATTGCCAAAATAGATTTAAATGTCCTCATGCATGTATTAATGATTTTTTTTGAATTAAAATAGCCGCAGAGCCTTACACTAGTGAAAAAATTCACCCCGCTGCACTAGCAAAAAGATTTGCCCCGCTACACTAGTGAACTTTTTTATCTCCTACACTAACGAAAATTTTCGCCCCCCTTGACTCAAAATCCTGGATCCGTCCCTGGCTACAATTATCTTCTACAGTAACTTCAGTCGATATAGTCAGAAAAGTAACTTCGGTCTTACTTTTTCTTATTATTATCCAATTCAAAGCACGAAATCAAAAATTACGTGTTTCTTGAAAAAGTAGACTGATAAGCCTGATAAGTCAAAAAACATGGTCATCAAACGTGCTCATAAAATAAAATATTAAGTGTGATTTAAGTTGATCAAATGAATAGTGAACAAACATCATTTTAGGAGGGGAGGTAGCATATACTCATAGTAATAGGTACAACTTTATAGGTTTAACAAAGTTTGATTCTACTTTTAATAAAGTTTAACTTTTCCACATTAACCCGGTAAAACACCTGGGCTATATAGTACACATTGTAAACATACTTTTACACTTCTATTTCATTAAAATAACCAATATATCTGAAATTTAATTACACTGTTATATAATGCCCTCATTTGAACAATAGCTGATTGAGCAAACCAGTGATTAATTTCAATACCAAAACACTGCAAAATGCAGTAGTTAGCTTGCGACTCGCCAAAAAACAAACGATGCCAATACCACTTTTACATAACTTACAAGACCTCTATTCGTGATGGCCTCTAAATTTGATTTAATGATCCTGCAAAATTGATAATATGCTTTTTCACTTTATTTATAGTGTATACTACGTAATACTTATACTAGGCATGGACCGGGACCGGGCTGGGCTTTGGGCTTGGGCGGACTCCGGGTCCAAAATATTCAGGCTCGGTACCAGCCCGAGTTAGTGTCGAGACTAGGGGTGGATTCGGTTCGGGCCACCCGGCCCAGCCCGCTACTGTGCGGGCCCGGAACCGGCCTGGTTTGGCGGTCCGGGACCGAGTGTAGACCCGAACCGGGGGCGGTCTCGATTCCGGCAAAACGTGACTCGGCCCAACCGGGTCAGGCCCGGGTCCGAGTCACAACAGTCAATTTTTTTTTTGGGCCAAAAGAGTCGTTAGGCTGGGCTGGGACTACCCAAACGGCTATATAGCCGTTGGGTGGGCAGGCAGGGGGGTCCGGGCAGTTTGGGGGGTGGGGTAAAAAAAACTATTTTCCATCTTCATCTCCATTTTTCTAACATTTCTATAAATACTCCTATTTTCTAACATTTTTATACAAATCTTCTCCAATATCCAATCTCCATTCTCCATCTTCATCTCTATTCTAGTATTTATAGAATTATTATATCTACCATTTTTAAGATGGAAAGTCAATATGCCGTTATCGCGTATATTTTTTATACGCAAAAGGACACGGGGATCGGGATGTGGTACACAACTTGCAAATGGTGCGGAAAAAAGTATAGTTTGAGGGTTTCACGTAGATACGACCTACGAGATGGCCAAGAAACATATTAAGTCATGTGACAAAGCCAAAGGACAGGGAAATTCCGATTGATTACAAAATGTATTTCATATTGTATTTTTTTCTCAATTGTCAAATGTAGTTCCTATTTCATTTCAAATAAATGCACTTGAAGTTTATTTTTAAGGCTTACTTGTATAAAACTATAAAGTATAAATAAGTCAAAAAATAATTGATTTACCCAGCCTGGCGGGTGGCCCGACCCATGACGGCGTGACCCGGGCAGGTGGCCCGGCCCGCACCAGAGCCGTTCTTACCTCGGGCCGGTCCCGAGCCCACCTATTATAAACCGGAGGCCTAACCAGGCCTGAACCGGCCCGAGTCCACCACTAGCTGAGACCGAGCCAGGCCGGGCTCCATAATTTTTTTTAGGATCATTTCGAATTAATTCCACCCCCAGCCCCAAACCCCCCAGCCCCACCCATCTAGCAGCCAGGCCAACGCCAAAAAAAATATTCCGGCCAGGCCGGGCCTGCACACTAACCGGCCAGGCCAGGTCCCTGGTCGAGCCGAACCGGCCCAGTCCACCCCTACGCATGACAGATGTTCAAGCCATGCTATCGTTCAAATTGTAATTAAAAGTAGTGTTACGCCAAAAAAATGCTAACAGCTAATATCTGGTTTATAAATTATGAAATGGTTTTAAAATCCCTTCTATTTCGAACCATTCAAACCAAAGTATGAACGGTTTGCCGGTTTGGTATAAGAATATCATAAGATAGCCGTGAATCTCGTGATTTATGTTAAAGAATAAAAAAGAATACAAGCTTCAGGTCGCCTATATATGGAGCCACTAAAAGTAGCTTTAAAAAGAGGGGAAATCAAAATGAGCTGATACGCCTTTTAAGTGAGAAACTTTTGCCACGGGATCAGCATAACTTTAGGTCTCATGAACAAGAGGACTGTAAACTGGGGTCCACATGTTGCGCCTGATGTACTCAACGCACTCCTCCTGCATCCACCCAAACATATTACACTGAGTAGTTAAGTAAAACAAATCACATAAATCAAATGTTTATCGAATCAGACTTAAAAAGATCATACCAGAAAATGTCAATCCAGTTAAAAACATTTTTAGAGAATTTTTTTATTAATCATATTACAACTGGGTTATCGAAGCGTAAGGAAATGTTCTATTTAGGTAACTTTCTCATAAGCATATTACAGTTGTTTACTCAAACCTTAAGGTAATGATGAAATTGTGCAATGTATACTGAAATGAATTTTATGCACGGTTTATTAGTGGGGTAATCTTGCGTTCGCTTTTAATTTTGCCCATAATAAGAATCAAACAAGAGTTCACAAATAGAACTAATTATATTTCATTCTTAGAATTTATTTGGTTATAATAAAAGAGTTGAAATTTTCTCTTTTAAGGAAGTACTCCCTCCGTCCCGTTGGAATGTTCCCGGTTTGACCTACACACATATTAAGGAAATAAATTTACCGAAAAGGAAAGCAGGACATTTATTTCGGGACGGAGGGAGTATTTATTACGGAGTCACAATATACTCTGTATATTACTACCTTAGACATGTGCTGTAGCTCTTTGGGCCCCATCTCGCCATGCCCTTCTGCCAGATCTTCAGCAACAGCCGCTTGAAGAACAGCAGCCCCAACCTCTGCTGTTATGTGTCGGATGCTATAATAAGAATAAAAGTAGCATATGCAAAAAACATGGTTAGTTTTGGCCTACGCCTAGGCAACACAGGTATTATAAATGACTGCTATTCAGACGGTCTGCATTTCTAAAGTAGATTTCAAGACAGAGTAGAGTATTGTGTGTTTGGTCATGGGAGTTAGTGTGGAAAGGGGAGCAAAGTAGTGGGAAGTGGGACCTATAAACCCCTCCAAACTCTATATTTCAGTTTCATAATTTAAAATTTTGGAGGAGTTTTGTTTACTTTATTTCTTTTTCACCATTTTCAAACAAAATTGTCCACATTACTAAATACTAATTTACTATTGTTGTTGTGCATATAAATTACTCTTTCCCTCTTATTATGTCTGCCTGATTCTTCTCTGGAACGTAATAATATTTAATAATTACAACTTACATATTTAGAAACAACATTTACTTCTATTCAATTGCAAAAAATCAAATATGTTAAAATTCTAAACCCAAAAAATCATAGATTTAGAATTACATTGACTATATAAATAGCAACAGCGGCAAATAAAATGATATAGAGCGAGTGCTAAGTACTATCTTTAATTACTAAAAAACAATGTTGCACTACACATATAACAGTTATATATATTTTTGTAAAGTAACAATTCCTCCTTACTCCGTCGTACCGAACATGACATTATTTTAAACTCTTTCATTTTACTTTTCTTCTGCTCTCCTCATTTTTCCTTCCCTCCCATACCTATTTTTAACCAAACAAAAGCTTAGGAAAGATGAGAGAATTACTTGTTGATGGATGGGTATAGAAGTCCTCGCTCGACTTCTTCGTCTGACATATAAGAAGCAAGGCTGCAACATTGTAACAAGTAATAGCTGAGCCTCTTTGGACTTTGAAGGATAATGCCTCAGGGTCTAAAGGGAAAATTGCAAAATAGTTTTTAATCCATACCGCTCAGCAGCAGCTTCCAACATTGTGTCAGAAATTATTCGGGCACCAGAAAGGAGAGCTCCCAAACCAATCCTGAAATCAATGACAATGATTTTACAATCCGTTTACTTGTTTTGTTAAATGACATTAACACCAGCAGCATACCCTGGGAACAGGTACATATTATTTGCTTGATTTACATATCCTGTTTCCCCATTCCCTGGCCACAAAAGAAAAATCATCTAGTTGCTAAGATCACAAAATCAATGAGGCCATAGGAAAGATAAACGAATAAAAATATACTCCTTCCCAAACAAGAGCCATATTTTATCAACGTACAACTCTTGTAAATCAACCATCCTACTTATATGTCTAATATCCTTGGTTATATTGAACCAAAGTTTTTTGGAAAAAATTATATGAAGTTCAACGATAATAAGCTTCTTTTGTTGAATATGACTTTTCAGGACAATTAAGTTAACAATTTTTTAAGGGATGCAAAGAGTACCAGAGGATGTCCCATAAAAGCAGCCAGTACCTACCAAGGTCAACATTGTCAAAAGGGCTCCCACTACCAAACACAATATTTGGACCAGCATACTTAAAAGCATCAGCAGCAGTACATTCAGCTGTTTCAAGTGTAAAAATGCAAATGTCAAGTATGGAAAACAATGAGCAGATGACATTGGAGGGCTTCAAGACCAACCGTTGTTTGTGGGATTTGACATGGCAAATATAGCAGGTTTAGTTGAATCTGAATCTCGCATGGCCTTAAGCACCTGATTTGTACGTGAACAAAAAGTTAGGATTTGGTATGAGTAAAAAATTGAGGGGGGAAAGGCATGATAATAAAAACGAGGATCAACCTCTTCACTGAAGAGACCACCAACTGCAGATAAACCAAGGAGCACATGAGGCTTGACCTTTTTAACCTGAACAGCATTAATAATCTGCATTAGAGTTTCGAAAACACAAATGGTGCTCATGAACTTAAGGGCTTGTTTGGTTGACAGGTTTGGAGAGAATCGTTGATCTTTGTTTTAATAATTAATGTAATTGTTAGCCTTTGATTAGAAAATTACAACTTCATGTAAATTTTATTTTCACTTACTCTCCAGTCATCTTATATAAGAATAAATAAATTAGTAAAACGAATATCGCCATCCCACCTTTCCTTAAAAAAATAAAATAGAAGGGCCAAACTGCTAAAGTATGGGAACTGATGTCATAGGCTAATAATATATAACCATTTTCGTCCACAACAAAGGATTTGAAAACAAATAATACACTAAACTTACCACTTCAAGAAGACCTGCACCCTCATAAAGTCCTAATCCCTCGATTTCATGTTGTTCTTTAGCAAACGGCGAGGCTGCTGGATCCATATCCTTCCGACCTTTTGTGATAAGTCCCTGCATCAGAACCCATACACATTATTAAACAATCAGGAAATAATATCAAATGAAAAGTTATTACCACGTTAAAAAAGAAAAACAATGAAGACTTTGCAAATTAATATGTTTATAGGGTAATACTTGTTCTAAAGACAGTAAAGATCATATATATTATATTTATAGGCTAACATTTGTTCTTACATTTTTATCCAAAAGAAAAAAGTGAGGATGCGCTGATGGTCCAGACATTCTTGACACGGCCTGCATTGCCATGTTAAGAACACCAAGCCCAGCACTGAAAGATAACAAGAGATAAGGCAAGGAGAGGCTTTAAGATCAACTCAATCAAAATAGAACAAGAAATTGAAAGAAAATTCATACTAGAAAGTTTTCCAACTACCTTCCTGCTCCTACCACAACTATCTTTTGGTTGGCAAAATCAGTCAAAGGCCGTCCCTGTGCTCTTACAGTTCCTAAAAGTCCAGCTAGAGCAACACCAGCCGTTCCCTGAGAAAGTCAACATTGAAAATAAAATATTTCCGGGGGAGAGGTCTTCAAAGTGCATAGTGAACCATATATTTATGTGACAAGCATCCCATGTCGGTTATGCACATGGATTGAGTATAGTATTGTATATAAGTGAAACCTAGGGTTCTGTTATGGGGAGTTAGGGCCAATTTAACATGCTCGGGTAATGGCCTGTTGCATGCCCACCCGCTTGATGGTTTAGGGCAGCAGTTTTGGGTGTCAGCGTGCGCATTTGTCCACCCCTCCAGATTTCTAGCCTACCAACAAAGCATCCAAATAAAGGAAACTACCTGTATGTCATCATTGAACATGCAAAATCTTTTGCGATAGCGATATAGAGTCTCAAAAGCCCATTTTGCTTGAAAATCCTCAAACTGCACATTTTTTAACAATTAGTGTTGCAAGTGAGCATATTACATCTTACTTAAAAATGAAAGTAAACCTGCACAACAGCCTTTGGCCAACGAGCATGAACAGCTTCCATAAATTCATCAACTATTGATAGGTATTCTTCTCCTTCTAACCTAGGCTGTCGCAATCCCAAATCTGTAAAGAATAGTATCACGAAACATCAGTACTTTTTATACTGCATACACAAAAGTTTCCATCTACTTTCAGTTAATTATCAAGAACATCGTATCAAGATAACAAGGACACCAAATTAGATGTATTTAGAATGGCATATTGCCTCCTCATGCTACAGAAGAAGTTGAACGTTGGAACAACAAAAAGAAGGATCCACAGTGGACAGGGCACACTGAAGTACATAAACCACAATATACAGCAGTAAAAATTGGAAGAACCAATAAAAAGGTTTTAGCAAGGGCCACGCTGCCATACAAATGCAATATTATATTTATACAGTTTCACTCACAAAGATGGTCTTCAAGAAGTTTCTGATTGTTTGTTCCAACATCAAGCATAACAGGAAGAACCTACCAAACATATTCAGAAAGAAACTTAATCAAGCAAATATATTTAAAAGTGTTAAGAAGAATCCGAAATAGACAGATATGATTGTGTTTAGCAAAACTATAGTGATAGTCATATTTCATTTTTGTTGTTAACTCATTAATGTGAGATCTATAAAAGCAATGTAACAAAATAATCAGTTATAAGAAGTATCAAATTTGCCAGAGAGCACATACTCTTTGTGGATTGATACCAGCAGCTGCAACATACATATCAAGTTTGCCAATGGGTATGCCAATTCCCTGAACTCCAAGATCACCTAGGCCAAGAATTCTACTTCCATCTGTGAGTACAATCATGTCTACCTACAAAAGTTAAATTAAAAACAAAAGTTGTACAGGTTAAGGAAATAATTACTCATAAGATGTTCTTGCTCTATAATATGAAATTTCCAGGACATAAGATATGAACTAATGACATCGTAGTTTGGCTGCCAAACTAAATTAATAATGCAAAATAATCTTACATAAACAGTAATGCATCTGGTTAAGTTTTAGATTCTTTTGAAGTGAACCTCAAAAGTGAGCTGTTTTAAACTTTTAAAATCAATCGATTAAGCTTCTTAGATTCCATTCGTTTCCGATAAAATAGCTTGTTGTGGGAATTGTTTTCCCGGGAAAATGTTTTCTTGGAAAACAAGCTCTTGTATGAGAAATACAATGTTTGATCCACAACACTATAAAACATAAACTGTTTCAGGAAAAAAACTTCCCATTATAATGGTATGTCATTTTCCATAGTAGGCTTAAGAGTAAAGGGAAATATTTTTTTCCAGTACCAGACATATGGAAATATCTCCTGGAATATGTTTTCCTATCTCAAACACAAGGAAAAATTCGTGTAAACAAACAGAGCCTAAGTGATGATTTAGTTTAGTACATGTGTAAGGCTGCATACGTCTGACCCCCCTTACCCCACTGTAGGTGGGAGCCTTTGCGACACTGGGGTAATGTTGTTGTTGTTGTAAGAACAATCAAGAAGTAAATCATAAATATGCTACAAAGCAGTTTATAACAGCAGGCCAGTTACTTAGTACATGTTGAGAAGGCCAGTTATAGATCATAGACATCATCTCTCCCTTATCCTTGGCACTAAAATACATCCCACGTGGGCGCCTGAACAACCCTGAGTAATTTTGGCATACCAATCCCACAGTTGGAGTATATACTATCGGAGCAAAATCTCTAATGTTGTCGATAAGAACCTGCAAATAAGGAGACCAAAATCATCATAGGACAACATCAAAACAAAAGTGACTTAGTATTATTCTAACGGCTATATATATCAGTAGACTTACTCTGTAATACAGCGTCTCATTCCTGTCATGTAGTCTATTTAGGATCCTCCATTTTGCTAATGAAACAACACTCTCTGGTTGTCCTTGAGTATTCTTTTCGAGTGAGTGAAATGATTGCACTGATGATGCAAAGAATATAACCACAGTATTAGACATACAATTCACACCAATTTGATAAACTCTAACAGGAAGTAGTATCAGTAGATAGAATAGAATGTACATAGAGCATGGAATGATTCCCTTTTCACATTTTGAATCCACTGATTTGGCAATTAGTTTAAATAAGTAACTTGAAAACAATACTATTATGATTTTGATGAAGAAATCAGCACAAATTTGGTAAGATGCCAGATGATATTGAACTTACTAAAACGTGAATATTGCTGCTGAAAAGATATAACACGAGGTGGAAGTAGACCACGAAGTCCTAGTCGGTCTCTCTCTGTCAAAGGGAAGCCCGTGTCCTGTTTTCTTGCAAATCGTATTTAGTACATGCTCAAGTTTGCAGACAATGACATTGTTGTTGGATCAAGGTAAAGAAAATTAGAGAAGGCCCCCATTGTACTTATTAGGCTCAAACTCACCTAAGAGTGACATACTTGTAATTTAAAATAAGCACAGGCCAGAACACACAGATAATGTCAATGAGACCCTGAGCCCTAATGGCATTCACTAATCCAAATTTAAAATTTTAAAATTTAGATGCATCCGTATATTCACCAAAGTGTAGCCCGTTCTTTAAGAAACTGAAGCACAAACACAAATTAATTGGGTGCCTTCATCCTAGTTCAAGAGAACACGCTACAAACCGACATGAATTCCAAATCAAAACAAGATAGGAAAAGAAGTAAGCGATTCCAGAAGCTGCACACTGAGACCCATTGCAAAGACTCAATTGTTTATAACTGATAAACTGAAACAAATGAAAAATTCCTGACCTTGTTGTACCAAGGATCATGGAGAATATCAGCACCACGCTTGTGGACGATACATGGTCCAGGAATCGCCGTCGAGTACCGCCGGGAACGACGGAGACCTGACAACGCAGATCGAGTAACTCTCCACATTTGTGAGTGGATTGAGGTATCAAATTCCGGCTCACCTCTGATATTCTAGTGTCAGAATGCCGGTTTCTCTGCACGCTCACCTCATTCTTATACTTCTGTGAGCATAAATTCTCCCAGGTTATAATTTACTTTTTTTCAAATTATCTTTCTTAAAATTTGAGGAATAAATATGCTGTATTTTATTACAATGTATCAGTTCGTGCATCTCGGACAATTGCCGATTCGCTGCAGTTGAAGTTTCTGAGAAAATTTGTTGAGAATCGAGATGGCGATTTGCGGGCATGAGAGAAAAAGTGCTGGACGGTATCTCGGGCAAGATGGGCAGAATAGATCGGTGCACGTCAGATCGGTCAGGTTTAACTAGTTGGAGACTTGGAGAAACTACTTTAAGCTAATTAATTAAAGTTACGGAAACTATCAAACGGCTTTTATTTTGGAAATTTGTCCTAAAATATTTGTAAATACTCCGAGTAAGAATGTTTTTACTTGGATTATAATTTGCAGGTCTGGACTGAATTGATCTGGTCTGATCTGGTTTTTTTGTATTTTTATAACTATCCAAGTCTGGTCTGGTCTGAACTGGTCTGGTCTGGTCTGATCTGGTTGGTCTTGTCTAGGAGGAATTACAGTATAACTATCCAAGTCTGCAAGTCTCAGATCAGATCAAATCAAATCAAATCAAATCATATCAGACTAGATCAAACCATATCAGACTTTCATAGTTATAAAAAACACAAAGACTAGACATTTATGAGACCAGTTCAGACCAGACCAGCAAATTTCAGTCCAAAAGAAAACATTCTAATTAGTGCATGTTTTGACATTATTATTTATCTCTTCTTCTTTCTATGATTTTATACTCGTATAATTTTACTAATAATGTCAATTACAATGTCTGCATCTAGACATTTCTCTTAACATTGTAAAAACAAACTTATCAAAAACATATAAGATCATTCAAATAAAGAGAGAGATATTTTATTTACTAATATTTGTGTGTCTGCATCTCTAATGTCACATATTCACCATGCACATTGTGGCATTAAAGATGCTCTAAACACAATACAATTTTCAAACTTGATAATAATTACTCGTATTTTGACTACATGCAACCATGTTCCATCAAGAATTTGAATTCCAGGTTATATGAAAATTGAGTATTCACTCCGTAAATAATACGTAGTAAAGATTAACCGTTGATGGAATCCGCCTCCTACATCATGTCGAGTGAATAGAGGCATGTGAATTCCACACTCATCATGAGTGTCATTTACCCAATATTGACTCATGGTATACTAGGATTGTATAGCTTATTGTGGTGAATAGATTAACTTTGGCATATCCCCATGGTTGTGTATAGAGGCTTAGATAATAAAAAATATCATAGTTCTATTTTGGTATTTTAAACTGTTTGTACTCATATTTCGATTTTTTCTCAAATTGCAACTTTGGAATTTGAATGACAAATTTGATGTTGGGATATAGAATAGATTTGATGGAGTATATGGCTCAGGGACCCCCGGCCCACATACTTCCTCTACTACAATCAGGCCCAACAGGCCCAAACGGGCCAAGCCCAGGAAAATGGAGCTCTAAGCAGCCCACAATACGCAAAAGGGTGCCTTCGGTCCCATGGCCGAAGGCTACCAGTGACGGAATCGAGTTCAGAAACATCACAGGAGAACAAGGCTTGAAAACCAAGCCTTCGGCAACTGCAGCCCTCGGCAGGTAGGAGCCCTCGGTTAGAAGAGGCATCACAGGAGAACAAGGCTTGAAAACCAAGCCTTCGGCACCTGCAGCCCTCGGCAGGTAGGAGCCCTCGGTTAGAAGAGCCTTCGGCCAAGCACCCTTCAGCCGAAGGCATCCACCTCGACAGAATATACTCTTCACATTCGCCTGGATCACCGTACCAAGTACAAACGTCACATCCAACCACCGCATTTAATGCGGCCACATGCGAGTGCCAGTGCCACCCCGGTCGAGATGACCCTCGACCACCAGAAAACTGACACATGTCCTTATCTAGCATTTATTACTACTATAAATAGCACCCCTTTCCCCCATTGTAAACCACGCTTAATACATATCGAATATACACTCTCTCTCTTACTAGTTTGCTCTGACTTCTCTCTAGTTATTCTCCGCAATAACCCCTCGGATAAGCTACCCCCCGTGTACACTATCCATCATTTGGTGTTTTCATTGAGAGGTCGAACAATCAAGTAAGAAACCCTCCCCCTCGACCAAACACAAAACACCTAGCTAAAATGGTGAGAACAACTCGTGCCAACTCCAAGAATGTCGAGGACAGGAACCTGGCCCTCGGCGAGGTCGACGTCCCCGAAGCCTCTAACAGGGCTCTCGGTGGCGACGTCATCGCCGGGTTAGACCAGACGGTTGTCGACCTACGCCATCAGATTCAACAGAATGCCCCCGATGCCCGCTTCGGCATCGAGGCTAAGAAGAAGGACCGGAGCGAAAACCAAATTAGCCCTCCGGTCATCACAATCGACGTACAATCGACGCTCTCCGCCTTCATCCAGACGCTCACCCAAAACCCGGGTGCCTTCGGCACTTTGGTTCCCCTCCAACCTCAGGTCGGGGAGAATATTATGCCTCCCCTCATCCACACCCCCTCGGGAACCCGGTCCTCCGGATTGGGAACTCCGAGGGGGTCGTGGCCCAGGATACGGCCTCCCAGGAAGTCCAGTCCCGGGACCGCCACAACGTAAACAAAGAACAACTCCGGACCTCCGCCCTCGAGAGACTCGGAGGGGTGCAAGACCACCGAGGGGTCCAAGACCGCCTCGGGGGGAAGGTGTTCCTGAGGCCTCAGGAAAGTGGCGAATCCGTCTCCAGGGCCAATGAAAGGCGTCCCCCTCAGGACAAAGGCAAGGCACCTCTCCATGCCAACGACGCCCGCCACCAAATCAACCAGGACCACTCGGCCTGCGTCCATTCGCAGGGGGCGGAGGCCCTCCCGAAGGACCCCCGGGACGAAATCATCGCGGCCCTCCAGCACCGGCTTGACGAGATGGAGGCCACCAAAGCACACGCCACCACTTCTGCCCCTCATACAGACCTCAAGTATGAGGCCATGCTGGCCAAAATGGAGGAGATGCAAAGGAAATTTGCCGAAGGCTCCGGGGAACCCGTCATCCAACTCCGAACTAGGACGCCATTTACCCCAAGGGTATTGGCGGCCCAAATCCCGGAAAAGTACCGAGGGCAACTCATCAAGCCCTATGAAGGAAAGACTGACCCCCATGAGCACTACAACAGGTATCAAAACAGCATGATGATGATGGGGGCATCAGATGAATACTTATGTCGTTGGTTCCTTTCCACCTTGGAGGGACCAGCATACGAATGGTTCAACCGGTTGCCCGAGGGCAGCATTGACTCTTGGCAAGATCTTGCCCAACGCTTCCTCACCCATTTTGCCGGAAGGAAGCGCGCGAGAAAGCACTTCTCCCAGCTCCTCTCCGTCAAGCAACAGCCTGACGAAACACTTCGGTCCTTCATTGACCGGTGGATGAAGGAGACAGACGAGGTCGAGGGCGCCGACGAGCGTACCCTCCAAGATCATATGCCGACGGAGCCTCATCACCGACCCCCCCCCCCAAGATCATACCTCAGAGCACTCCAGCGGGGGAGCCTATACGCCGACGCCGACGACCTCCACTCCTTCAAGAAGAACGAGGGCCAGTCCTCGAAGAAGACAAACAACACGCCGGCCCCAAATGCGCCCTCGGCCGGAGGCCGAGACCATGGAAGCCGCACCCAGCAGGGCCGTAACGAACGCCAATGGCGCCCTCGGCTGGACATGCCGAGGACTCCCCTCACGCACCCGGTGAGCACTATCCTCAACTATGCGGAAGAGTAGGACCTTTTCCCCAAGGACCCTCGGTCGGCGAGGGAGATCTACGCCATCCACCAAGGCGGCACTTATTGCCGTTACCACAAAAGCACCTCCCACAATACAGACGATTGTGTCTCGTTAAAGAAGGCTATTGAACTCTTAATTCAACGGGGTGAGCTCCACCAATTCATCAAAAATGCCCCAAGGAAAAACACCGGGGAGAACACCGATAAAGAAGAAGGGGACATCGCAACGAAGAAACATGAAATTGGGAGGCTCAGCGATGGTGAGGAGTTCGAGGTGCCCCAGCCGAAGAAGCGCCACCTCCGCTAATCATGTTCCTCGCCTTCGGCGTTAGTCTCAGCCTTGGTCCCTCGACCTCGAGGCACATTACCATCCCCTCGGCCTTGAGCGGTGAATCTTAACAAAGCCGTTGTCAAACAACGCACCCCTTGTATTCCGCTTATTTCTATGAATTTAAGTAAACTACAACACAATCCAGACATCTTATCGGCCCCTTCAAGGCCAAATGCCCAGGTATGGTCGATGGTGTCTAAAGACGAAGGGCCTGCAAAAGGCCCGCGTTTTTGGAGCAGGATGCTCGCCGCGTCGCCGGCGCGCAACGCACGACGACAGGCCTGAAAGAATGGCTAAGGTGACGAAATCCCCAAACTTGGGGGTGAAACGGCAGTCGTCGGAAACCGACCAAGCCTAGCTCGCGTCGTAAATAGACGACGGGACCCCCCAAGGTCAAGGGACGGTTCAGCGCTGGGGGACTAACAGACGAACCCCCGGACGGATCACTTGGACCCCCTTCCGGCCGAGGCGGGGAAGCAACCCCCTCGCCCGAAGCCTGAAAGAAGGAACACACATGAGGAGGACTAACATACGACCTCCTGACACAATCAAAGGACGGCCCAGCGCCGGGGGACTAACAGACGAACCCCCGGACGGATCACTTGCACCCCCTTCCGGCCGAGGCGGGGAAGCAACCCTTTCGGCCGAAGCCTGAAAGAAGGAACACACATCAGGAGGACTAACAAACGACCTCCTGGCAAAATCAAGGGACGGCCCAGCGCCGGGGGACTAAGAGACGAACCCCCAGACGGATCACTTGGACCCCCTTTCGGTCGAGGCGGGGAATCAACCCCCTCAGTCGATGCCTGAAAGAAGGAACATACACCCGAAGGACTCCCGGAACTATCAAGGAAAGGCCCTCGGCCTCAATTTGATTCTACATTACCAACGGCCCTCGGCCCTCGGCCTCAGCGTGAGGACATCACAATGGCCCTCGGCCTCAACATCAGACGCCCCTCGACCTCAACATGACTCTATGTCATAACGGTTTTTGCCTTACATGATTTCACATCACCAAAGGCCCTCGGCCTCAACGTGATTCAACATCAACAACGGCCCTCGGCCTCAGCGAGATTCCACATCACAACGACCCTCGGCCTCAACATCAGAACGGCCCTCGGCCTCA